GAGCAGGGAGCCCGATGTGGGACTCGATCCCAGGACCCTGGGATCATGACCTGAGCTGAAGGCAGATGCTTAACGACTGAGCCACCCAGGCGCCCAGATAATAACCTTTTAGTACTATATTATAAATTGACAGAACAATAATATATACTTTAAATTCTTTTCAAGGATGCAAAAGTGGCTTAAAGCATGGCATCTTTAATATTAAAAATATTAACGACTGTGGTCTCTATTTTCACCACACTTATGAGAGAAGACTAAAAATCACACTTTAAAATGTAGCTTCGGGGCACCTGGGTGGCTCAGTCAGTTAAGCGTCTGCCTTCAGCTCAGGTCATGATCCCAGGGTCCTGGGATGGAGCCCCACATCCAGCTCCCTGCTCATTGGGGAGTCTGCTTATCCCTCTCCCTCTGCCTCTCCTCCCGCTCATGCTCTCTCTTTCAAATAAATAAAATCTTAAAAAAATTTAAATTAAAATGTAGCTTCAAAATTCTCATTAATCTTGTTTTTGGACAAGGTTAACTCTGAGCAAAAATAACATATACCTATATATATCATGCTTGACACTGGCCCTTGATTTTTGTCCAGGTTCGTAGTTCTCAGGTGGCATATAGATAATTGTCCCTCCTTCTGGTGAAGATTTACTAGTTCGTGATTGTGAGAGGGACATCATACGCCATTTTGATAAACCAAAATCTGCAATCTGTAAGGGAAAAGAGTAAATAATTGAATTTAAAAATTAAAAAAAAACAACAACAAGAACTGTCTTTGTTTATATTCATTGTATTTAGGTATGAGACCAGAGGAAGTGTTCTATATTAATATTTTATTTCTACATATACTATCAGTTTCTTAATACATTAACTTCTAGAGTGTTGAATCCAGTAACTCTAGAAACAATACATACTGACTTGAAGTTCATAATGTCACAAATTTTAAAATGGAAACTGAGTTTTGAAAAATTAAACAGAGTATTTTTTGTCTTAAATTCTGAATGAGCATATATGCCAAACACTATTTTTTAAGACAAGTAGTTTTACAGCATGTGCTTTCAAAATTCTCCTACACCTCACAGAACTGCTAAACTACTGGTATCTAATATGACTGCCACTGGGCATTGTTTGTAACTCAGGTTTAAAGATTATTTATTTATTTATTAGAGAGTGAGCAGGAGAGAAACAGCATGAGAGGGGAGAGGGTCAGAGGGAGAAGCAGGCTCCCCGCTGAGCCGGGAGCCCGAAGTGGGACTTGATCCCAGGACCCTGGGATCATGACCTGAGCTGAAGGCAGTCGCTTAACCAACTGAGCCACCCAGGCGCCCTGTAACTCAGGTTTATATGTTCTTATTTACAATGCCCTAAAAATAGTAACCTTAAATTCTGAAGCAAGTAAAATTCCAATATAGTTTAGGTCATTATTATATGATTTATGCGTACCACTAAAAGAATCATATCTGTTGGCAACAGTCTATTTAGCATATAAAACATATTTATGTCCACAACAAGTACTGCCTAAAGAATTATTGGTGCCATTCTATACTTTTGATATATCCTTTACAGTTTTGCTTCACTTGTAAATTTTGTATAGATGTTATACAACATCTTATAACTCTCTATTTAAAGGTTTCCTTATTTTTTAAAAAATGGAAGACAAAATATAAGAACAGAAACAGTATTTAATGGACAAAAGGGTGTAGTGAATCTTTAAAAACATTTAATTTAAATTGCTTAGATCTTCACACTGCATAAGTTAGAGCCAACAGAGGGAAATGAATTCTATCTAGCACACCATTTGTGTTTCAGTTATTTAACTCATATACTTTTACTAATTTTAATAGAAAAAAATTTGTTTAGTGTTTAGATGAATTTGATATTAAAAATATTACTTTAAGAAGGGAGGGGGTGGACTATGTGATTTTTTTCATACATTATTAAAATAAAAGGGTAAGTCTAAGAAAAAAAATAGAAAAGACCAAGAGAAAACATGGTGCCAATACATGAAGAGCTAAGCTGGATTGATTCTGAAAGGCAATATACCACGTGGCTGAGAATATGGGTTCTAGAGCCTAAGGTTATATTACATTTATATTCCAATTCTACCACTTGTGTGTGAACTTGAGGAAGTTTTTAAATTTTTCTGTGCCTCTGTATGATTACCCACCTGCAAACTGGGGATAATAACACTATATCACAGGGTTGTAGTGAGAAAATTAAATAACTTATTCTAAGCAAAGCATTCAGAACATTATCACATAATAAGTGATCCATATGTGTTAATATTATTGTTTTGTATACAGGTTGCTCTTATTCAATACAATCTGTTCTTCCCACCTACCCTCTAAAACCAAAAAAAAAGCACTCCAGTTGCACATTTGCTAGAATGATAAGCATTACTATGATAAGTAGAGTTTATTTTTATGCCACAAGTGAAAAATGTTATTTATTTATTTATTTATTTATCTATTTGAGAGAGAGAGAGAAAGAGAGAGCACAAGAGTGAGAGCACAAGTGGGGAGGAGGGAAAGGCAGAGGGAGAGGGAGAAGCAGGCTCCCCGCTGAGCAAGGAGCCCGATGTGAGGCTCGATCCCAGGACCCCGGGATCATGTTCTGAGCCGAAGGCAGACACTCAACTGACTGAGCCACCCAGGTGCCCCCACAAGTGAAAATGTTAAAAAAAAAAAATCTGAGATGTGGTCTCACCTTATACCTGAACCATAATTTGCAAATTCCTGGGCTAAATGTTGGTTTGAATACAGTGTTGTAGAAAATGTATTCCTGAGCTTGCTTCCTTATGTGCTCCTTCACCTAAGATCTTCATCTTTATTTTCAAACCTGACCTAAAAACCTTAATCAGAATTCTATGAGCTGATTTAGTCTGGTTTTCACATGGAACTATACTTCTCCCCTTTCTCTGTTACAAATAATATCATTAAATTTGACTCATTAAATCTGGATCTTCAACAGAAGGATAAAAGTGAATAATGTGAGGGAAGGAATAAGAATGCCATGATTTCTTGAAAGTCTTGATAAATTTATTATTCAGCCATGAAGACAGAGAATAAGAACTTTCCCATTCTACACAAGATCTTAAATATGCACTTCGAAGCTAAGGGCTTTCTTTTTAACTAAAAAGATGATTTTAAAAATTAGAGGAAATTAAAACACACTACTCATAAAAATCCACAATCCTCTCACCCTAGTAGAATAGCTATTTTCATTTACATATACTATCCATATCTATAAAACTATAAAGTTATCATCAGTAAGAAGTTACGAAGAATAACCCTAAAGTATTCTGGTTTCCACACCGGACTGAGAGAATAGCAGAGAAAGCAAATATGGCACATATAAATATTTTCATTTCAAAGAAGCCTATCGCTAGTTCATTTGTATCTAAGGTGCACTAATGGACACGTGGCAGATAACCAAACTAATGTATCCTTTTTAAAGTAGAAAAGTCTCAGTTGACCTTAATCAGTAGTAAACATTTTTCTTTCAGATACTATGTTTCTGGTCAGCATTCCAGTGAGAAAACTTACCTCAGAAAATGGTAGCAAGGTGTAAATTTCCATTTAATTTCATTAAGTATTTTTAAAGATACTTTGCACTTCATTTAAGGCCTTTCCAAGAAGATAGGTAGATTAAATAACTGTTACTTTTTCATGAGTCAGTGATGAACTTTGACTTTTAACGGACATTTATAAAGTACAAAGTAGAGACACATAAGATGCACGTAAACGAATGTCGCTAATTTATAATAGTATTAGAAAGGTCACAGCTCTGTATGTACTAAATTAATAAAAATTATAAAAACTAAACCTAGCCAAACTATTCTAAATTCTATTCATATCAACGAAAGACCAAGGATACCCTGTTGATCAGTGAAAACAAGAAAGTAAGAATCATTACCTATTACTTTGCTTCTGTTTACTTTGCTAAGTATAGTTTCCAGACTGAGATGAAGAAAGTATAGTCCAAGGACATTGAAAGGTTTAAAAAATGCAAATCTCAGGTTATTTTATATATATTTCAGGTTATTGAGAATACTTGCAAATATCTCCATGGTGCTATCAGCGTTCTTTGTGGGACAGAATGGAGAGGTACTACAGGATATGAGAAAAGTAAATGACATTCTGACTTTCAAAAAGGAAAGAAAATGTTGATTTTGCAAATCTACTTATTGGTAGACACTATCCTTAATCCCTGCTTAAAAAATTTATAAAATTTAATAAAAGGGATATCAGCAAGAATTCATGAAAAACAAATTATATCAGACCAGTGGTCAATTTCAGGTCTCACATGCTATATCCCAAGTCCTTGGCACAATGCCACTGCTGCTCCATAAATATTTACTGACTAAAATTATGACCAATTTCATTTCCTTTTTTGACAGTAGTAGTACTGTCAAAGAGTAAATGTTAAAACAGTTTGCATATTATAAAACACTCTGTTATTTTATTTATTTATTTTTTTAAAGATTTTATTTATTATTTATTTGACAGAGACATAGCGAGAGAGGGAACACAAGCAGGGGGAGCGGGAGAGGGAGAAGCAGGCTCCCCGCCGAGCAGGGAGCCCAATGCGGGGCTCGATCCCAGGACCCTGGGATCATGGCCTGAGCCGAAGGCAGACGCTTAACGACTGAGCCACCCAGGCGCCCCCACTTTGTTATTTTATAATAACATGCTTCACTATTAAGTTATCAGGCCTATCTGGTATATATAGAAGATCTGGAATTCATTCATTTGTTTATTCAACAAATACTTAGTTAATGCTTCAATATGGCACCTGCTGAGCAGGTGGCAGTTAATAAAATAGACTAAATTTCAGTCTTCATGGAGTTTATTTTCTAACTGGGGGAGACAGTCAATAAACATATTAATAAAAATATGACAGATGGTGAAAAATAATATGCAGAAGCATAAATCAAGGTACAAAGACACAGAGGAACTGGGTGGGTCATCAGGGAAAGCCATTCTGAAGAAGGTGAGGGAATAAGCCAGGAGGACACCTGGGAAAGTAGTCAAGCAAGGACTCCTGATGATATTCTCAAGGAAAAAATGGAGAAATATGGGCTGTAAAACAGTTCTGCACAAAGTAGTCCACACAAAATTAATGATTATTCTCCAAAAGTGCTAAATAAGGATTGATATTGACCTGGAAGGAGGTTTAAGCACCATGTTGTGAGGCTCTGATCTGAGCTCTGTACTGGTTAATATTTAATCATGACTTAAAGATACAAAAACTAGCTAATTAAATCTGAGGATGACACAAAGCTGGGAGACAAAGTTAAAATCCTTGGGCTACAGAAATGATACTGAAAAAGATCTTAAGAGGCTGAAGTGATCACTCAAATCTAACAAAATAAACTTTGATGATGTCCAGAAAGTATTCTGCAAAGTACACATTAAGGAGACGTGACTTAAGCAATAATACCTGAACAAAAGAACCTCTCAGGGCTTGTTGATGTTAAGCCCAATTTAAATGTTGTGATATGATCACCCCCCAAAAGCCAATGATTCATTAAGTATTAAACAAAGTGCTTAGGGACCAGGGAAATGATACTTCCATTCAAGTCTATATTCATAAGGTCACAAGGAGTATTTTGTTTCATTGTGAGAATAAAAATTTAACAGAGATTTAAACACAGAGGCATCTGGATAGCACCTGCGATTAAAAGCAATGTAATAAGGAAGTTGGCTGA